AAAAAAAAAAAAGAAAGAAAGAAAACAGGCATCTACCTCTATAAGAGTATTAGAGGGCTAGATCACAGTGAATGAAAAGAAGACAGCTCTACAAAAGCCCACTGACCTCCAGGACTGAGCGACATTCATCTTATCAGAGTAGAAAGAAATACAAAGCAGCACAAGGTAGTAGAAATGCGAACTGATGGAAAAGCATGCCTGAGGTCAGAAAACAAGGCTTTGTACTAATTTCTTCTACTTACTAGTTGTGTGACCCTCAACAAATTATCTGAATTCCCTAAATCCAAATTTCCCCTTATGTAATATGAGACTACTCTTCATGAGATAACCATGAAGGTGAAACAATATAAAACATTAAAACTGCCCAGCACAACACAGGCGTGAAAGAACATGTCCCTCTAGAAGGTTCTAGTGAATAAAAAAATAAAAAGGAAAGAAAAATAAAAGTAGGACTTGACTTAATGAACTATGTAGTCATTTTAATAAAGCATCTTTAGAGAGAGAAGGCAAATGACCAAATACATTAACTGCTACATGGAAAGATCAGTTTTTTTTCCGAGAGGTCATGCAAGGGAATCCCCAGAGGAGAGTGATAAAAAAAGAAAAAAATCTTGTTGTCAATCTTCAAGCACAACTACAGTGTGCTGGAATTTATCATGAGAATTCCACATGAACAGGACAACAGAAAATGTATCAGCAGACAGAACGCATCTTAGGGCTCTCGGTCAAGTATGCCTTTTTATCACCCTTTGCCTCTGTATGAATATGCCCACAACTTTTACAATAGACCCATCAGTCCTGATGCTGGCACAGTAGACACATCAACAGTGGTTTTGTGTAACAGACAAGAGAAAGATCATATTTTACCATATTTGGGGAATGAAGCAACAAGCTGTAAGCTCCTCCCAGGCACTGAGCCCCAGGCACGGCGCCAAAGAATCTCTACCTTACACTCTAGATACCTCTCAGAACCTTGCAAACAAAGTGGCAAAATTTATTTTCAAGGTTTCAGTCAGAATATCACAGATGTTTCTTACTACAATTATCAATCATGCACACCAAATGTTCCTCACTAAAAATGTTCACAACATAGTAAAAGAGCAACCACATATTAAACTTCACCTACAAAATGACCTTGTTGTCTGCATAGGTTTGCCTGTGTATATAAAATGCAGATCTAAGAAAAGAGATTATTCATATAAGATGCACATCTAATAAAAGCCTGGAAGGATCCAAAAAAATACTAATAGTAGTTATATCTAGATAGGGGTAATGCTGACGAATTTTATTTTCTTCTGTACACTTCCCAGGATATTTTAAGTTTTCTACAAAGGCATGTATGATTTTTGTCCATAGAATTAATAACAAATGTAAATATAAAACACAAAAAGTTTAAAAAATTCCTTAATGATATAAAAGACAAATAGACCAAATTCTGAGCCCCAGATGGCTTAATACTACTAAATTTGCAAAGGTCTTATAAAGTTCCTTCCACCTCTAATTTTCCACAATTCACACTCAATGGCTGTGATTAGGAAGTGGGGGCACACATTTCTGCTTAGACATATGCAAACGGTTTTTAAACAGCTTTTTATTCAAATGCATCAGATTAATATAACGTTCACTTCAAACTAAGCCAGCTTATTTTGCTACCAAGATATATTTTTGGATTTCCTAGTATTCTTCATAGAAGACGTTCATTATTACCACAGAGAATAAAATAGGGGTTGGGGGCGGCGATCTAAAATATAACAGTTCTAGGAAAAAAAGAGATCACACCCAAATGAGGAATAAAAGATGTATAAACTGGCATAAAGAAATCTAAAAGGACTTTGTGGAGTGAAAACTGGATCTCACTGGATGTGTGCTTTTTATTTTTACAATAAACATTTAAAGCTCTGCAACAAGGAAAAATGGAAATGTTTATTTTTAAAGTTAAAATAAGTTATGTTGGGGCGCCTGGGTGGCTCAGTTGGTTAAGCGACTGCCTTCGGCTCAGGTCATGATCCTGGAGTCCCAGGATCGAGTCCCACATCAGGCTCCCTGCT